TTTTATTAATAAAATTTTTAATAATTTTAATTTTTTTCTAATTGCAGGTTCTCTCTAAATGCAGGTCAAAGTACTGGTCCCGACAACATGCACTTAGAGGGAATCGACTGTATATATATAACATATTTGTTGTATATTTACTAATATCTAAACTATACTATAACTAGTAATTAAACTAAGATATACTAATAAAAATATACTGAAAATATGCCAATATAACAATATATTTAACAAACTAGTATAAATAATAAATATAAATAAAAATAATTTTTTTATATTAAAAAAATATATATAATTAAAATTAATATTTAAGATTTTGTTAAAAAAATTCAAATTTTTAAATAAATTCGCCTGTATAAAAATTATCTTTAGCTAAAACATTATTACCAAAGCCAAATTTTTTATTTAATAACAGTATATTAATTTTCTGGTTTAATATAATTATTAAGAATTATTATAAAACGCACTTATGGTGTTTTACATCTATTATATTTTTTATATTATACAGTATTTTTTATATTTTTCTATTAAATTTTTAACACAGCATTCGGGTTAGTATTTAGAGTTAGGGTTTGAGTTGGGTTTTTAGGGGCGAAGAATTTTTTTACTTAGAATACCTCACACTGATTAATTAGCTAATTTTTGTAATAATATATACGTAGGTGTAAAACACCATAGGTGCGTTTAGTAAAAGTCATTATTAAAAAAATAAATTTCTTTTAAATTGTATAAATTTCTTTAAACAAGAATTAGCAATTTTAAATTTAGTCATGGCGTTACTCTTATCCGTCCGCTGCTAATAAAATAGAATAACAAAACAACAACAAAATAATTAATTTTGCCAAATTTATTATACCAGGAATTAAAATATGGCACATAATATGAATAATTTCGTATAAATACCGGGTATTATACGTAAAGAGAATAAAGGGATTCTTTAACAAGTACGGTACGGTAGTTTGTTATCTCAAATCCTTAACGCTCGTTCTCCTTTTATGAAAAAATTCAACTTTCGAACATACATGCATTATTCTTTGAAACGCCTTTAAAGAAGACAATTTAAAAAATACACGCATCTAAAATTCTTAGATAATTCATAACATTTGTATGATAATGTAATGATCCCTTAAATAAAACTTTGCACATAAATGTACAAGCACTTAATTCTGAATAACTCATGGAATGCATGATAAAGAGGTATTCAGACTCAACGGCTTGGTAATTGCTTTAAAAGTAACTAGAATAAAACGAAACTTCAATAGAAATTCAGAATCGTGAAATATCTAATTATTTTTAGTGATAATTTTTTTTTTCGGTATGTCCGTATATATATATATTGATCGGATCAGTGGGACTAGTTTTACAGGTTGAGTATCACGTGCATTCGGTCGGCTTAAAACGGTGTGATATATAACAATTTCTTTACTCATTTACAAGCTATATAATTAAGAATAATGAATTCACAAGACAAAACCAAATGTTCCATAGATTATCTACATTTGATTGCGATATAATTTATTACAAGGGGTTAAGTCATTCATGGCTATAAATTCAAATTAGCATTTTTAAACGTTTAACAAAAGGCGGCGAGGATCTTCAACCTGTTCTTTGACTGTCTTCAAAAATGTTACAGCTTCACGGCCATCAATCAGACGGTGATCATAGGTTAAAGCAATGTACATCATTGGTCGAATTTCAATCTGGTTTGAATTATAATGTTGAAATTAATCATTAGGCATAAGACAAAAAAAAGTGAACGTTCATATATATATATATATATATATATACCTTGCCATTAATTGCGACGGGACGGTCCTTCGTGGCATGCATCCCCAATATCGCGCTTTGTGGCAGGTTAATAATTGGAGTTCCAAGAAGTGACCCGAATACACCTCCATTAGAAATGGTGAAAGAACCTCCAGCCATATCTTCGATGGTCATTTTCCCATCTCGAGCCTAAAAAAAAGCTATTTAATGATACTTTGAATATTGACAATTTAATGAATAGAAACATACTTTTTGGCCTAATTCAGCAATAGCCTTTTCAATTTCTACAAATGATAATAGGTGGGCATTGCGAATCACAGGAGTCACAAGACCTTTCGGTGTAGCAACTGCAACGCTCATATCAACATAGTCCCTGTATATGATGGTATCACCGGATTCTGCTATAGATGCATTGACAGCTGGAACTTCCTGGAGTGCAATAGTGGAAGCCTTTACAAATGCGGACATAAATCCAAATTTGACACCATGTTTCTTGAGAACTGCGTCCTTGTAAGTATTACGAAGCTCAATAATATTGCTAAAATGTTATTTGTTTATTGATTTAAATTTTTTATTTATCGTATGAAAGTAACTTGTCATAATAGTTTTGATGTAAATGCATACGTCATATCAATTTCATTGAAAGTTGTCAATGAGGCAGCAGTATTTTGTGATTCTTTCAAACGTTCGGCAATTCTCAAGCGCATCCTGTTCATCTTAACCTAAGCAACAAAAACTCACTATTAATAACACGCTAACCCCTTTCGCTTGATCTATCAAATACACGAAGATTCTAAATAGTAATACCTCACGCTCTTCTCTTACACCGTAAGGAGATTCTTCTTTTGCCTTACTCGAAGGTTGTGAAGGTTTTGAAGGCGCAGAAGGTGGTGGTGTTTGAGGTTCGAAAGGTGGTGGTGGTGTTGGGAGTGCGGAAGGTGGCGGCGTTGGGGAAGCGGAAGGTTGTGGTGTTGGAGGCGTGGTTGGTTTTGAAGTTGTGGTAGGTTCTGGTTCTATAAAAGAGCATTGGTTTACATAAGGAATATATGGTAATAGAACTTAAACTAAATATACCTGGAGGAGGAGGAGTATCTTCCTTTTGTTTTGATTCTGGCTCTGGTACTTGTTTTGGAGAATCTTCTTTCGAAGTGTCCGCTTCCGGTTCTAATATTGACGTGTAAGCATATTATAACAAAATTAACTAAGCTAATAAGAATAATAAAAACGTACCAGAAGCCGCAGCATCCCCTAACTCCACTTTGCAAAGATCTTGGCCTACAACTACGTTATCTTGCTCATTTGCAAATATTTCGAGTATCTTTCCAGTATATGGGGAATTAACTGGAGCATTGACCTTATATAAAAAGAAAATTGATGGGTATGTCATCACAACTGCTTTTTATACAAGAACTACATGAAATAAACGAACCTTGTCAGTTTCGATTGTCACAATTTCCTCATCTTGTTGAATGGAATCTCCAGCCTCTTTTCATGGGAAAAACGGTTTAACGTTAAGAATGTCAATAGATGAATGTCGGTATTGACATTTTAGAAAGCACGAAAATGTGTGAAATACTTTTGTTCCACTTTGAAATTGTGCCTTCGGAAATTGATTCAGCTAACGGAGGAACCTTTATTATCTTTGTGACTATTTTTATTTAGATCGATTAAGAGGAAAAATTAGTTTTATTTTCCTATCAGATCAGACGAAAAAATCAGGTAATACTTACCATAGTTGTTAGATAAAACCATTTTCATAAATGGTGAAGGACGAAACCTTAAGCCGGTGAAAGACGAAGCCTCTGACGAAAGGTGAAACCCTCGGCGAAAACCGCCGACAAAAGGTGAAATTCCCGGCGAAAGGTGAAATCCCCGACGAAAGACGAAACCTCTGGACATCTCGATGCTCTAATAAAGACAAAAGATAGAGCTATATTATAGTACACATAAAATTAGTTTCAGACTTTTTTAAGTTTACAACTTACCGGACTCAACCCTTTGAAAATCTGAGCAGTAGCGGACGTATGTAATTTGTAAGAAGTAAACATCACCGAACGGGTGTTAGCGGATATCTGGTAAATTAATAAATTTAAAAGCTCGAATTCTGGTTTCTCTTATCTACATATTATTAAGGAGGCTTTTTAACGTTAATAATACCTCAAATCGAATTATCCAATTTAAGTTAAAACTGTAAAGTTTTTTTTTATCATATCATTATCAGTCACACGATTTGCACGGGATAAATTCTTTCCTTAAAAAATTTCGTAGTACAAATATAAGATTAACCATATAAAGAATGTCAAATAACTTTGTTTTTAGTGTAACATTGTCATTTATAATGGAAACCCTGCATGTAGATCTGATAAAATTTTTATCAACGTTGTCTTACTCCAGATTACCACTATCGCTATCTTATCTTGAGCCGTTTAAATAAAAGAACGAGTAAATGCGCATATATATCAATAAATACATATGTTGTGTCCAAGATGTTAGGATCAATTGATATGTTTCCATACAACAAACACCTGTATGTACGTACATACGTACTCACCTGTTATCAAAGGTATCTGAGACACATTCACGTTAATCTGTAGTATTAGAGTGTATTATAATGTGAATCGAAGCACTATGTTGATTATTTTGCATATACAGTATTTGATACACAATTCTTTATTATATAATATACTGTATTTAAAATATGAATCAAAATTTGTTGTTACAAAAAATATACTGTATTTCTTGTATAGTAATTTATAGCACTAAAGAAATACGGTATTTTTTTTGCTTTTAATTAAAGCTAGAAAATTTTTTTTAATTCTAATAGTATTATTATTAAAATTAGCTATAAATTTTATAAAGTATAAAAATTTATAAATTTATTATAATATAATATAAAGAGTAAATATTTATGATGTTAAATTGCTTATTTTGAATATAAAAATGTTCTTCATATTCACACATTAAATTGTCGTTAATAAATCAAATAATAAATATTCATAGAACTAAACTGCTTTATTTTTAAAACAAATTATTAAATGCTCTTTATAATCACATAATAATCATTGCACACATAAAATAAAAAATAAATAGGTAAATATTCATGACTTGAATTGCTTATGACATTTTGAATGCCTAAGCAATAAATGTTCTTTATATACTAAATTATCTCGAATTAATAATAATTTACAGTCATGAACTTGAAAAGTTTAATTTAAATAGTTAGATTAATAAATATTCTTTATTTTCATGCACTAAGTCAATGTAAATACAGTCGACTCTTTTTAAGTGCATGTTCTCTAAGTGCATATTCTCTCTATATACATGAAAATAGCCTGGTCCCAAGTCAGGACTTATAAAATAAGTGCATGTTTTATATTCTCTAAATGCAGGTTATTTTTAAGTTATATATATAAAAATATTCTCTCTAAATGCATTTTTAATATATTAACCAATCAAATTTAAAAATATTTATTTAGATAATACTGTAAAACAATTAAAAATTTATATATTTTATTTCTTTTAATTATAATATAAACTAATAATATATACTGTATAGTTCCAAAAATAAGCACCCCCTCAGAGCAATTTTTAAAGCCAAAATTCTCATGATCTAATAATCAGATCTATATAATTTTGGTACCATTTGAATCAGCTTGCCAAAACGATTCGAATGGTACCAAAATTACGTAAATCTGATTATTAGATCATGAGAATTTTGACTATAAAAATTGCTTTGAGGAGTGCTTATTTTTGGAACTATATGGTAGTGATATTTTATAAAAATTATTATTATAAAAATAATAAATTTTTAAAAATTAATAACTTTTGATCTATTGATCCAATTTGGATAATTTAACTACCAAAATAATTCTCTCATAGAGGTGATTCTAATGAACCTAAAATCAACCAAATCTGATTATGTAATCTCAAGATTGTTAATATTTTATATTATATTTACTATAGTAAATATAATACAAATTATTAATAATCTTGAGCGAGATTATGCAATTAGATTTATATAATTTTAGATTCATTAGAAACAACTCTATAAGAGGATTATTTTGGTAGTTAAATTATCCAAATTGGATTAATAAATCAAAAGTTATTAATTTTTAAAGATTTTATTATTTTTTATTAATAAAATTTTTAATAATTTTAATTTTTTTCTAATTGCAGGTTTTTTCTAAATGCAGGTCAAAGTACTAGTCCCAACAACATGCACTTAGAGAGAGTTAACTGTATTTGAGTAAATCTGTTATCTTGCTTATTTCCTTCTTTGCCTTGTATATATCTGATTTTTGCTAGTTCTTGATTGAAATCCAAACTTCAAAAAATGTATTACTTTTTTTAAATCCTTAGCCACAATCTTTGTTTTTGGGTTCTCTGCTTATATAAAGAGGTCCTTATTAACTTTTTTTTGTCCTGGCTTCAATACTACTAGCTTAGTTTTGTTTAGATTTATTTCAATATCATTAAGTTTATAGAATTCATTTGATAGATTGATTGTTTCTTGTATACTTTTTTGATCATAAATCACTTATATTATGTTATCTGCATATACTAATACTCTAATTTGGATTGATTCAGCTTTAAATCTTTTGTTATTATCTATATTGTTACTATGCATTTTATACTCTAAATTTTTATCTTGTATTCTACAGAGGAGTAAAGCATAGAATATTCTCTAAACCAAAGATAATAAAACTTTTTCTTGATTCATTCTATCTCTGCTTTGAAAAATTCTGTATTGCTATATTTTGTTATAATACTTAATTTTTTTTTTTTATATAAATATATAATGAAATTTACTAATTTGGCAGAAGTTTTAATATTTCTAGAGCTTTTTTCAAGGCTACTATGCTTACTAAGTCAAAGACTTTTTTCATATCTTGGTATACAATTTAGAGTTTTTTTTTTCTCTACTACCTCTTCTATTATATTGTTTATAATATGTACTGGGGCTACTGTACTTTCTTTAGACAGACTTGCAAAATTTGCACTTTTTAGTATATTATTTTCTCTTATAACTTTATCCAAACTTGCTTGTACTACTTTTATTAAAACTTTTCTATATATTTCTAATAATGCTATCGGTTTTGTATTACTCAAATTATATTCCCAAAAGCTCTTTTTTGGTATTAAATATAATTGTCTTAACTTTTATTTAACTGGCATTTTACTGTATTCCAGAACTGTATTCATAAGATTTGTTATTTTTTTTGTTGACTCTGTAGACAATTTTTTGAGTAGTATATAACTAATATAAAAATACCAGGTACTGTCATATTTTGTATCTTTTATAAAACTTAAAACCACTCTTCATCATTAATTAAGTCCATTATATTCTTATACTAGCTTGGATTTACATTTTTTTTGCTCATATTCTTTTTGTTAATTTTGGCTTATTTCTTTGAATTTTTGTTTTCTTTTTCTAAATTGCTTTTGGAAGTGTGAAATTACATATTGTTTAACTTTTATTTTATCACTAATGAGCTCTTGGTTCTGGTAATAAGAATTTTCTTCTAACAGCATTCTATTTATTGTTATTTCGTATCATAGAGTTATTTAAACTACTGTGTATTCATTAACTTCTACTATTAGTCTTTAACTCGCTTTATCAGGAAAATAAATATAGTGCAGATCTACAAAGATACGTGACTCTAAAAACTTTTAACAAATTTTATGATATTTATATTTTATTGATTAAAACTTGATGATTTAAATATCATTTGATCTATCTTAATAAGAAGAATTGAATAATACTAAAATTGTTAAAATTCAATTGCTAAATCACAAGATAATTGCATTTAATTAATTTTAAAACTAATAGTTTAAATTTAATACTTTGGTACTATTTAATTTCTCTCAATGAGATGGTTCTAATAATACCAAAAATATTAAAATCAGATTACTAGTTCACAAGATATTTGCAAAAAATATTTTATAGTATAGTTCTGTATAGAAAGAATTTACATTCCTGCTCAAAACTATGTTGTGAAATGTTTTTTGCAAATATCTTGTAAACTAGTAATCCAAGCTTAATGTTTTTAGTATCATTCAAACTATCTTATTGAGAGGAATTGAATAGTCCTAAAATTATTAAATTTGAACTACTGGTTAACAAGATTGTAAGATAGCTACAAAATTTACTTAAATGCAATTATCTCATAATCTAATAAGTAAATTTTAATGATTATAGTACTATTTGATTTATCTTATTGAGATAGATTGAATTGTGTATAAATTATTTAGTGAATAAACAGTTATTTAAATAATCATATTGTATTGGTAGTAGTATTTGGTATAATACTCCAGTCATTATATATTGCTAATATTGGAAAAATTAATATAGTGCAGATCTGCAAAGATCTGAAACTTGAAAATTTTTAACAAATTTTACAATATCTTGTAATCTATCAAATATAAGAACAAAAATTCTGGCATTTTCTTTATTTGGATTAATATCTTATATATTATTAATTTACTATCTTTATTAATATTATAAATAAATATAAATTACCCAGAAGAAGTAGATAATAATAGTACTCTAATACTCAACCAGAGTATTTTTACTTCTTGTGGAACCATGAGAGCTGGGTATATAGCAAGTGATTCTGTAAAAGATATCTCTAAAATTCATATTACAATCTCTAATACTCTCTATAACATACTTACCTGCTACAATAAATTTCTTTTATTACTAAATTCTTTACCTATTTAATCTCCTCAAACAATTAATTCTTTCTTTTATACTTACTTGAAATTGGCCTATGAGATAAACTTTATAAAAAACTCATTATATTTATCAAATCTAACTTTAGTAAAGCTTATATTTACTCACCAAGAGAACCTTGTCCTTTACCTGATCACATTATTGTACTTTATCTCGAAACTGTTTATCTTAACTCATTTATTTCTTTTAAATTATATATTCATAATATCTCTTCT